TCGTGGATGGGGGTTGGGGTTGACATCCCGGGGGCTCGGGAGCTGCACACACCTATGTACTTCATGATAGCAAGGTCTTGATAGGTCTGTTGAAGGCGAATATGAGTGGGTTGGATGGTCCATTGCCAAATGCGTCAAAGCTGACTCTTTTATATGTCGAGGTGAGGGAGGATTCACCACTTCAATCAGAGAGTAAGGTTCCTTCTCTTGCTCATTGTTCGTAGGAAGAACAATGTCCTGGCCCGCATGGTCACCGGTATCGATCTTTGTGCCCGTCGCTCATCATATCGCTGACAAAGGCTTGGATGATAAAAGCAATTGAGTATTCCACAGATTCCCCGTTGTCTTGGAGGAGTTGTAGGACTCTACCTACAGTTCGCTAGTGTCGCCTTTGTGTGCTCTATCTGTGAGCAGTGGATTTCCGGCAGTTCTGGAGACGAGCCAAGGTAACGCTCCAGTTGAGGCTAAGGTAGTGTGGCTACTATAGCTAAGTGGTTTGAGGTATCTTTCAGACGATAAAGGAAGTCACCTACATGGTACGGCCCGTGGCTTTGTCAACTGGCTCATTGGAGGAGAGATCGATGCTGGCTGGAGCTAATGCGGTAAACCTTCACTAACTGAGCGTGGGAAGCCCGAACTTCCGCAGCCAGTGATTCTGTATGCGTTAGATGAAGCTCTCAGCAAGTTCTATGTTACCACGACAATGCTCTATACATTCAATTTTCATTTTTCGGCCTAGATTTCCAGACGATCAAAACACAATATCTAAAAACATCCACGTTCAACATCATTCAACATCGTTCAACATCGTTCAACAGCCCAGAGTCAACTCCCTCACGCAACAAGCTCAAAATACTTCAAAAATTGCTCATCCCCGCGAAGAACCTCGTACACCTCCACCGGCGCCTGCACATAGACATCAAAGACCCGGGGCCCCCCACGCGAGAAATTCGGCAAGATGCTCGCGCACGCCCCGGGCATCCCCGCCTGCACGCGCACGGCCGCCGGCACCACCCCGGCCCCAAGATCGTACTTCTCCACACTGCCCGAGTACCACGTGTTCATGAACAGGTCCATATCCCCGAAGTCGGCATTGGGGGCGAGGGTCTCCGTCGGCGTCAGAGAGGCCAGCAGGCCCGTCATGGCGGCGAAGGAGGAGACGTCGATGCGCGAGATCGATCGGCGCACGAGGCTGGCGGCTGTGGCGAGGCTGCGGGCGGGGGTGGGGGCGTCTGTTGCGCCGTCGGCGGATGCGATCAGGTCCTGGGCGGGCAGCGGGCCGGCGAGGGTGCCGAGAACCGCGTTGCCGAAGTACTGGGGCGAGGTCTTTTGGTCTGGGTCGCGCGTGCGGACGTCGATGGGGTGGACGAAGCGGGTTGGGGCGTTGGATTTATCCGGATGGACGTGGAGGCGGGCCCGGGTGATGGCTGTCCAGATTAGGGCGGAGATGCAGTCGTAGGAGGTGATGTAGTCGACTCCGTCGAGGTGGGGGGTGCATTCGGCTTTGAGTTGTTGGATGGTTGGCTCGGAGATCCGGTAGATGTTTGCCCGGCAGGGTGGAGGTGGGTTGATCTTGAATTGGCTCTTCTCGATCACGCTGAAGAATGGGACTTTGGCGAGTTGGTCTGCTCGGGTGATGGCGGGGTCCGGTGCTGGCGTGTTGAACGCGGCTCTGTTGAGGTCCGGGGTGTAGGTGGGCATCGCCTGGCCTCCAAGGTGTGCCTTGGTGCTTTGGCTAATAAGAGAGAGGCAGGTGTCGAGGGATGTCCAGTCTCCAGCTGCGTGGTTTAGTCTCAGCCCCAGCGTGAGTCCTCCGTCGATGACACCGATTTGTATTTTGCAGGCTGGCTGTTTGCCGACTGGCTCTTCTGGCAGAAACCGGGTCAGGTCCAGTTCTGGAGAGAATGATCCCTTCGCTAAGGCAGAGAAAGGCTCGCATTCTGTGGGCTCGAATCGGCGGATGTTGACATCGACTTCGCTTTCAGCTGTGGTGACGCTGCAGAGCTTGCCGGCTTCGTTAAGCTGGAGGTCTCCTGCCATAAAGGGCAGTTGACGGGTTGCGTTTCTGATCCCTTCCAGCAAGGCGAAGATTAGGCTCTCTGCGTCGACGGTAGCTTGCAACTCATAGAGGAAAACGATTTTCACAGTCTTGGTGAAGCCCATTTTGTCGATATCCGACAGCTCATAGCTTTTCACCTCACCCATGGCTACGGGGGTGATTCCTTCGATGTAGGAACAACAACGGCGGATTTTTCGATATAGTGATACGTGAGAGATTGGGAGTCTGGAAGAAGGGGTCTTTAAGGGAGGTCCAGATACACCAGCTTCGTTATAGGCAGTTGAGTTTGTGATCTGTGCTGGCTGATATGAGAAGACTCGGCTTATTTATTTGATGTTGTTTGGCGTCGGACACCAAGAGCGGGATAGCTCCGCCTGGTCCGGATTAGGCATAGTGTCCGAGATCTTTTCCAGATCGGGTGTCCGACTGTCTAACTTAATATGGCAAGATCGGCCATCGGCACATCTTCCCGTACTGGGCGACTGTACTTAGATTTAGGCGTGCTTTGATTGAGCCCTTATTCTGTGTCAAGCTGAGATCCATGATGGATTCGGTCCCTTCTCATAGACACTCATAGACATTTTAACAGGGGTTACTATTACCTCAAATGTGTCCAGGCAAGCCCCTATATACCATCTGCAAGTACCGTACAGCACAGACATTGGCCATGAGATATTGTATCGGCTAATGTAGGAACGATGACAGCAAGGACCAATGCGGATGCTTTATCCATCTTGGAGATAGTCCGGTTCCTACCTCGCTGCTAAACTCGACATTTATGCGCGAACTAAGGCCAGGCGCAAATTCGCCACCCTGCAGTCATGAACCATGAATACGAGACCACCCGAGCTTCTCATTTGCTACCATATGAAGATGTAAGGATCATACGGCTACGCGCTTTGTTATGAGATACACGAGCTCAATGCGTGGGAGGAATGACCTCATAGCACAAGCTCCGTAGCTTCACGAAAAGACTCTCACTTCTACCAATCTACCAGGCACATTTGAACTGTACAATGTAATCGTTTTTTGGCAATACCTCATAACTCCAAGCCGGATATCTGTTCCATCCCCATGGCGCAACCGTCTCCCACCTCCGCACAGCCGGCGCAGCTCTGCATCACCGCCGAGGACGAGCTCTTCGACGAGGAATTCCTGCAGACCTGGCGCCGAGAAGGCTTCCAGGTAATCTACATCCCCTTCCAGAGCGACCGGAAGAGCTACATCGCCGCGCTCGATGCCGTCAAGCATGATCTGCGCGTGAGCGAGGTTTACGCCATCATCAGTGAGCATACCTGCCCTCTGACCCACTCCTCATCAACAACAACAACAACAACTAACCCCCGGAACATAGGCTTCGGCGACGCAGCCTCCTTCTGCCTCACGCACTACCTCAAGCTCCCCAACACCAACAAGCTCTGCGCGCTGATCGCCTACTACCCGACGGCGATCCCCGGCCCGGCCAGCCAATACCCAGCCTCGATGCAGGTGCTCGTCCACCTGGCCAACCAGACCGTTAACGTCCACCACCCGCCGTCGAAGACGGGCCACAAGGCCACCGTGGTGCGAAAGCAGGTGGGGCCGGGGGTGGGGATCGGCGACCGGCTGGCGCTGGGGTACGCGGCCTTCTCGTACGTGGGCGCGCTGCCGGGGTTCGCGGAGCACGATCTCGAGGAGTACAGCCGGATCCCGGCGCAGGTGGCGTGGAGTCGCACGCTGGGGGCGCTGCAGCGGGGGTTCCGGCGGGTCGCCGCGGTGGATCTGGAGAGGGTGTGGGATGAGATGCAGGAGGGTAGGTCTTGCCTTGCACCGCACCAGCCTCACTCACTTGTGAATCACCCACCCTATTGGCACTCAACAACCATCAGACACCTATCCTGGCTAACATTTCCCCCCGTGAAGCACGATACTTCTCCCCCAACGCAACCGCCCTCCTCCCTCCTCCCCCTGATTCCGGGAACGAAGCCAACACCACCGCCCCACCCCCAGCAGCCCTGTACACCCCAACCCTGCAAGGCGCCACCGGCCACACCCCACTGCAGGACTTCTGGGCGGCCAACTTCCACGCCCACCGCCCCGCCTCCATGCGCCTGCAGCTGCTCTCCCGCACTGTCGGCGCCGACCGCGTCGTCGACGAGGTCCTCCTGACCTTCCTGCACTCCCAGCCCATGGACTGGATCCTGCCGGGCGTGCCGCCCACCCACCGCGAGGTCCGGATCGTGGTCGTGAGCATCGCGCGGCTGTGCAGCGGCGACGGCCGGCTGTATTCCGAGCATGTCTACTGGGATCAGGCCAGTGTGTTGGTCCAGGTGGGTTTGCTGGATCCGAGTGTGGTTCCGGCGGGGTGGCCGCGGGTCGAGCGGGTGCCGGCTGTCGGTGGGGAGGCGGCTGCGGCGGTGTTGGCCGGCAGGGTGGAGGGGGGATCTAGGGGCGAGGGGGATGTTTCTGACTTTGACTCTGGGTCTGGGGAGTGGTCTGGGGAGGAGGAGGCGTATGACTCGTTTTCCGGCCGAGAAGCGGGCGAGGATGGAGAGGCGACGAGCAAGGAGACTACTGAGGAGCAGATACCTTTGGAAGGGCTTACGCTATCTTCTGGGGAGGGGTAGATGCTTGTACGGGGATACGTATACGTAGTACCACTCCTTGAGAGAGGTGGGATATGTAGGATGGATGTATACTAGCACACATGAAAGAAAAGGCAAAAACGAGCCGCGCTTACAGTACGCATGTACATTCGCACTCACCATCCATACTCAAGAGACCGTACTCTCCGGAATGGAACCGAGTATAAACTCCCATCGCGCCCTCAACCACAAAAACACATCAAAACCCAACAACCCCGCCCAAGTTAACCATCCATCAACCAACCTCTCAATTCCTAAACACCCAAATAATTAGCTCAACCCTAACCCAGCACCCAACCAAAAACCAAGGGCAGAACTCACAGAAGCTGCAACGTCAAATCCCCATGAATCTTCGCCTTAAGCTGCACCTCGACATCGAGATTCAAATCCAGCCGCAACCGCAGCTGCTCCTCCTTACCCCCACCCCCTTTCTCCTGGCCCTGGCCCTGCACCTGCTGCTGCTGGCCACCACCCCCGAGCACCCCGCCCACCGCCTTCCCGGCCGTGTTGCCCACCGTGCTGACGGCCTTGCCCGCGGTGTTCTGGACGAGTTCACCCGCGCCCCGCGTCAGGTTGCCGGTGTCGCCCAGCGAGCCCAGCGGGAGCAGGTCCTGGTTTCCGGCGTTGCGCTGGCCGCGACGGCGTTGTTGGCGGTAGCTCGATGCGGTGGAGGGGTCGCGGGGCGGCGGGGTGGCCACGGGGCGTTGTCGGCGTTGCTGGCGTTGGCGCTGGCGTTGGGGTTGGGGTTGGGGTTCCGGTTGGTGTTCGGGCTCGGGTTGCGGGGAGCTCGGCGCGCTGAGCTCGTCCATTGAGGAGGCGGACTTGGCGTCGTCGGCCATTGGGTCGGGTTCTGCGGGGGAGTCGGGTTGGTTTAATGGCGTTGCTAAGTGCGAATGTTCCGGGGGCTCTTCTGGTGGAGGTGCTTCTTCGGTGGGCCGGGGTGTCTCGTTTGCAGCGGGTTCCGGAGAGAGGAGCTGTTCTTCGGGGCTTGACGGCTCCTCGGTCGGTGGTTCCTGGGGTGGGGATGAGTTCCCAACTGGAGGTGACTCTTCGGGCTTCTCAGAAGAGGGCGATTCGTCCGAGATAGAAAGCTTTTCGATGGGCGGGAGTTCCTCGCTGGTAGCAGGTTGTTTCCCACTGCGGGGTGCCTCCGCAGGTTTCTCAGCGCCAGACTCCTCGGGAGGCTTCTTCTGATCCAAATCTGACTCCTTGGTCGGGGGTTTCTCAACACTAGACGTCTCCTCAACAGGCGCAGCTTTCTTCTCAGTAGGTGACTCCTCAGCAGCCGGCGGTTTGCGTCTTAGTTTCGGCGGTTTGCGCTTCACGGGGGTAGTATCACTAGGCTTGGTGTTCACATCTAGACTATCCTTGGCGGAATCAGTCATAGTTGCCCTCTCTACCTAGTGGTATCGAAGCAGATTCAAATCCAAACTCTAGAAATATACCCGAAGCTAAAGCGAGAAGCACCATATAAACTAAAAAACCCCCGCCGCCTCACTAAACGGATATACAATTCCTACCATATTTTTGTCTGGGATGATCCAGAAATGAGGTCACGATGAGGGAATCCGCGAAACCAATAAAGGAGGTTGAAACCCAACGATTGGTTCTGTGGAACCATGAACCCGTATTGTTCGGACAACAGAGGAATACGAGAATGGGGGCTGTTGCGGTTGCGGTTGCGGTTGCGGTTCGCGGCATTAGGGCCGGGGGTTGTCAGCTGATGCAGATGTAAAAGGGGGACCCCCCAAGACGTCATGCATTTTCAACCCGGGGAGTATACTTTTTCGCCCCTCCTTCCTTTCACCTTACGCTGAATTTCTTCCCGTTTGGTGAACAAGATTTCAATATATTGCGCCGATCCGATCAATAATTGACTCGATTATTGCTGCTCCAGAACACTCACATCTTCGCAACGAAAATGGCTACAACACCACCTCCAGACGAGCCAGCGAGCGCAGCAGAGGAGACCACTGCACAGGGTCAAACCGCCATGTTACCCCGTCGACCACAAGAGCAACAACAGAAAGACATCTTCCAGGCCCAAGAAGCCAATGATACATCGCGCGCCTTGCAGCGACAGCCCCGGCGACAGCGACGTCAACAGCAACAGCAAGAACAAGTCACTTCCGCCTCCGATACCGAAACCTCAGTCGACGAATCGATCGGCGGCGCGCGCGAGGAGCAGCAGCAACAACAACAACAAGCCACGACGACGCTGCGAGGAGGCCGTCAGGATTGGTCGCTCGAGCCGGAGCCCGAGAAGGAAGATACCGGGCTGAAGCTGCGGCTGGATTTAAACCTGGATGTCGAGGTGGAGCTGAAGGCGAAGATCCATGGGGATATCACTCTGGCGCTCTTGTAAGTTCTTTTCTCAGGCAGTATTCGGCGTACCTGCCAGGCTGTATGGGCTGCATTCGGGGGGGGGGGGGGGGGGGGGGGGGGGGGGGGGGGGGGGGTTGGGGTTAACCCTGACTACCCGGGGAAAGCGGCACACTGCTAATGCTTTTAAGGTCTTGATTATAGTGCGTAATCCCAATGTGCATGGCTGGAAGATTGAATCCCAAGCTCCGGTCGTCTAGCGTCAATTGAAGTTCTGCATGGCGCGAGAAATTTTGCCTCGGTCCCTTCTCGCGCGGTGTGTGCGATCTTGATTGTAGGTGGAACCTAGCACACTGACGCTCCAAGCGCAGAGCTCACTAGCGCAATGGCGCACTTCATGCCCTCGTGCATTGCACAACATGATTGTCTGTACATACATAATAATTGAACCTAATCAAGAAGGATCAATCACAAGCATACGCAAGACCTAACCGTCGATGACGTCCATCTTCTCTAATCAGGATAAAACTCACCGTGCCTTGCAGGTAGTCCCCAGAGTACAGGATCCATGGTCCGCTGGACATGAATCATGAGAACCAGACGTAGAACAAACAAACAAAGAACCTTGAAGTTTTCGCCCCCCAAGGCTCCTGATCATACCACTGTTCATCGGGTCTATTCGCTGCTATGCTCAGATTCCATGGTCCGAAAGTATATTCGCTGCGCGAGTTGTGCCATGGGTACCTGCAGCGCTAGTAAGCGACCGCGATACCAGTGCCGTGGATATGTGTAGGCTTCCGTAGTGTCCACAAGATTCGGCCCTCGTATTCATCGTGTCAATAATAGTAAGTGACGTATCAATGATGACTAGTGGGCTTGTCTTGTGATAGCAGTGTTGAAGATACCCAATTATAAATGCATGGGCAGCGTTGGGATAGTTTGAAGGTATGAACAGCATGATCCACAAATCTGAGAAGCAATAGCGATAAGAAAGTACAATATCTTCAATCCTCAAACGCGAGACATACAGAAGCAAAACACTCATGGAGGTGAAAAAAGCCGCAACGCACCCCGGTACCCAAAGAACCCCGGGGAAAGCCCACCGCAAGATTCAAAAACTGAGCTCCAAGGGCAGTCACTCTGCTGGAACTGGGCCTTTCCCAGCAGAGGACAATGAGCCCAGTCTAGAGGAGATCAGTCCTCACGAGATGGAAGGAAGTACCCACAGCTCTCAGGAACAGAGGCAGAGCATGCGGTCCGGCTCAGGTGGAGCCGAGGCCGGGGGATCCAAGACTTCTCCGCGTTCGTCAATGCTGGCCCGGGGTAAGACGGCGGCAGATCGGCTGGGCCGTTTCACCCAGGGCGTAAGATCGATGGGCCACTGGTCTTCTTCGGATGCGGCGCAAAAAGCCCAAAGTAAGCTCGGCGGGGGCGCCCAGCAAGCCAAGGGCATGGTACCTGCTCAAGAAGACACCGCTGGCTCCGGCCTGGAAGATGTCCAAGGTAGCGTGCTCAGCCTAGCAAGTCTAGAGGGGCTCAGTGTCGAGGAAGGGGGCATGATAATGAGCTCGGCGGGGCAGCCGATTGGGGAGGTGGTCGAGGGAGATCCCGACGACCTTGTCGGCCAGACCGTCGGCAAAAACGGAGAAATCCTGGATGAAGATGGGGATCTAATCGGACGTGTTCAACTCCTGGAGAAGGAGGCAGAACCAGCGTCCGGAGAAACCCTCGATGCGGGGACATCTGAGCAGGGTGAAAGCCTTCCAGATATGCCCACTTCCGAAGAGGGGGTCTCTCAAGATCAGGTGGGACAAGAACAAGCCCAGGAAGGGATTAAGATGGAGGACGCCACTGCTCCAACCGAGCCCGATCAACCTGTGGAAGAGCCACAGGCAAGCGACGCAGATCAGTCTTTGGAAGAGCCCCCAGCAAGCGAAGCGGACCAGACCCTACAGGAGCAACAGCCCGGCGAAGAAGAAGAAATCGCCGGCGAAGGGCTTGCAGTCCCAGAGTCTGCGCAGGACAAGGAGGGTAAAGAGGGAGCGGAAGAGGAACTAACAGGAGATAAAGAAGTGGGGGCAGGAGTGGAAGAGGGAGTCGGAGAAGGAGTCGGAGAGGAAGGAGTCGGAGAAGGCATAGGAGAAGAAGGGGTGGGAGAAGAAGAAGCACGGAAGGAAGGTGAAGAAGAAGGGGAGGAGGGAGAAGAAGAAGCTCCAAAGCTACCCGACATCTCCACCCTCGAAGGGCTCACCTGCACCAAGTTTGGAGGCATCGTTGATTCCAAAGGTGCCCTCGTTGGCGAGCTGATCGAGGGTGATGCCAAGAAGATCTTCCGTGGAAAGTATCAGCTTGATGATCAAGGCCAGTTCTGGGACCAGCGCGGGAAGGTTGTGGGCAAGGCGAGGCCTCTCCCGGTCGAGGAAGACGAGCTTGGTCCGTTCGCCGACCTGGGTGATCTGCATGTAGCCGAGGAAGGGTGGGTCGTGAATGAAGAGGGCCGGCGGGTAGGCCAGGTCGTCGAAGGGGACGCGCGGAAACTTCGCGGGCGTGCAGTCGACGAGGATGGCGATATTCTGGATCGGCGAGGAAATCCATTGGGCCGTGCAGAGCCGTGGGAAGAGCCATCAGAAGCCGAGGCCGAGGAGCCAGAGGAGCCAGAGGAAGAAGGAGAGGATCTGTCGATCTTAGCCGGTAAAAAGGTGAATAAGCTAGGCAACGTTGTCGACGATGCCGGTGTGGTGTATGGAAGGCTGGTAGCCGGGAATCCACGCAAGCTGGCTGGCAAGTCAGTGGATGAAGAAGGTCAAGTGTGGGACTCGGCAGGCCGCGTAGTCGGCCAGGCAGAGCTGCTCCCAGCTGAAGAACGAGACCGGCCTGAGGGACCCTTCTCCGGCCTCGAAGGCTTGGTGGTGGGCAAGGATGGGTTGGTGATCGATGAGAACGGTGACACTGTCGGGCGCTTGGTGAGCGGTGATCCTCAGCGTCTTCGTGGACGTGCTGTCGATGAAGACGGTGAGATCCTCGATAAATCGGGCAATGCAGTCGGTCAGGCTGAACCGTGGAGCCCTGAAGAGCCAACTCGCAATGTCAGCCCCATGGCTGGTCGGAAAGTGAACCGCGATGGCGAGGTCCGTGATGAGGATGGCAATGTGATCGGCAAGCTGACCCAAGGCGAACTCTCCAACCTGATCGGTCGGACTGTCGATGAAAATGGCTATGTGGTTGACAATGATGGCAACAAGATCGGTGAATGCACCCTCTTGGAGAACATTCCCCCTGAGCCGGAGCCGGAGCCGGAGTCTGAGCCTGAGCTGGAGCCGGAGCTGTCTCCCGAAGAACGTGAAAAACAGGCCCGTGAAGAAAGGGATAGAGAGCTGGCAAAGAAGATGGCTTCCATTGTACAGCAGACGCTGGACTCGATTGAGCCCTTGTGCAAACAGATCACTCAGGTAAGTCGAGACTCTCGAACAAACAGACTGGTAACGCATACAACTTACTAACTCTGTTGAAAACGATAGCATATTGAGCGAGCCAATAGCACCCCCAAAGAGGAGCTAGACGAAGAGCAGCTTGTGAAGCAGGTCAAGCCGTTGATTGAAGAGGCCGGCAATGGCTTGCAGGAGTGCAAAGGTGCTCTTCGAGCCTTGGACCCCGATGGTCAGATTGCTGCTCAAGCCAAAGCACGCAGTGCATCGGCAGAAGCTAGCCCCGAGGAGCACCATTTGGCTGAGGTGCTCAAAGAGCTGACTCGGGTGGTGGGAGAAACGATCGAGAGAGGAAAGGCTCTGATCGCCGACATGCCCCATGCTAAGAAGAAGATCAATCCGCTGTGGACTTTGTTGTCCGAGCCCCTGGTTCAGATCATCGCCGCGGTGGGCCTCCTGCTGAGTGGTGTGCTCGGTCTAGTTGGTAAACTACTCAACGGACTCGGATTGGGGAATCTCCTCTCGGGTTTGCTGGGAGGCTTGGGGGTCGACAAGCTGTTGGAAGGGCTGGGCTTGGGGAAAATAACAGAGGGGCTGGGGCTTGGTGGTAAGAAGTGACTGATCGGTCAGAGGCCGAATGAGACTGTTCTGATCATGCCAGGCAAACTCCGTTATCTTTCAATTCACTTGTTTCTTCTCGTTCTGTCATTCTTGTACCTTACCAGTGACATGTTCGCCTCAATTTCAAGCATATGATTTCATGATAATAAAAGATTGAGTTCGTCGTAAGTGTCGTAGGCCTACCCATGCCGTTGAGCTATTGCTGCTAGGAAAGCCGCGCTGATTGCGCAAAACACACCAGACATGAGAAGGAAGAAGGCGCCACCCCAGAATGTCCACCACACTCTAGCATCTCGTCGATCAACCCACAATTGCTTCAGTGTTTTTGGTTGTTGTGTGTCGAGATACGTTTTGAGTTTTCGCAAGCGAGGGCCGAAGTACTCGTAGTGCAAAAAAGCCTCTTTGGGACTGACATCGTGCTGGAAGATAGAAGTGATCATGAATCTGATGTCTTCTGGGTGATATGGGGCGTGAGAGTGTATTTCTCGCATGGGTGTGACAGTGGTCTTGTTTTGGTCAAAAGAGCTAACACCTTTGATGCTTGTGGGTGGGTTAGCAATGTCAAAGGCCGCTTGTACCGAAGGTGGCAGAGAGCAGCGGTGGAAATTCTCCATTATGCGTTTGACTGAGGGCCTTCTCGCATCGATGTCGAAAGTTTCAGGTATGTTTGTCTGAGAACCAAGTCGCTCGCTGACTTCAATCTTCCTACCCAGCCAAGTAACTTCTTCAGATTTGTTTATCTTTCTCAACTGCCTCACGCCTCCATTTGACGATGGTCGGAACAATAGAGCGTAAGTCTGGGACAGTTCAATGTAAATAGGCTCGTGATGATCCTTACTCTGAAGACCCCGGCCATTGTAGAAGAAAGTAGGATGAGCGAAAATCCTGATTGCATTCCGCCCGGCGAAGATTCTAAGATGGTCATCCAGGCAATCTGTCCATTCGATACTCAGTCCCCCGAAATCTTGCAGGTACCGGGCTGTGAGAGTTTCCGCTGCGAAAGTTGGGCTGGAAGCTTCCTCAAGGAGAAGCTCTTTGACCGGCTCGATGCCAGTCATCACGCTGCGATGAGACTTGACCATTTCGAAGATTTTGTAGACTGGCTTGTCTTTGTGTCTGAGGTAGAACGTCAGAGTCAACGGGTCTCGATTTCCGCGGAACTGGGACTCAAATTCCACCGCCGTCAGGCAATCGTATACAAGATGAAATTGGTACCAGAGGATCTCGGGCTCGTCGACGGCAGGCTGCGATAGTAAACGCCGAGCATAGCATAGATCCAAGAGTTCTTGGAGAATCATTTCATTGGGACCGCCGAGTCTGGAAAGTCGCAGTGCCCGCCCGACTTCGATCAATACCCGGAGCGTTTGGTCGGCATCAAAGTAGCGACAGTCAACACATACGCCATCTCTGCATTCGAGGGCGTCATTCCGTCGAGCTTCCATGCGGACAAGAATCAAGAGCAGGCGAGGCAGTCACGAGTATTCGAATGCTGCCTTCGAGCAGTCCAGCGGACCAAATATACGGTTCATTCCGTACGGCTCGATGGCGAAGAGCCCCTCCAGGAGGGTGTCACGATAGCGGGAGAGGACTTTTGCATCGAACAGGATATCATCGTTTCCATGCCATCCGAGCGTGCGGTAGATGGTCGGAAACCGATCGAACGCCGCTTCGTACGCATTCTGCATGGTTTGTCTCTCGGCAGGGGTGGATTCGTGCTTCTTCCAGTGGTCTAGGGGTGTCAGAATTCGAGTTCACCTACTGATAACCAACATACCCGTGTATTTTGCCATATAGGCCTCGTTCTCGGCATCTATCTCCTCTGGTGACATAAGCTGCACTGGTGTTGATGAGGGAGCATGCTTGGGTCGTCCAATCTGGATCTCCTCGTTGAGTGCGCTGAGAATGGGATCATTCTGTCTGGCCAATTCTCGAGCTCTGCTCGGATCGCGTCTGTCGTTCTCCTGATCGATCAATTTGATCAGAGATTTGATTGAGTCTGTCAGGTCCCGCACGGCAGCGATGGTGTCTCCGTCGGATGTGACGGGCTGTCTCGGTTCTGGAACTGATGAATCCATGGTTGTTACCGAGAGGAAGTGGGGGAAGCAGAAAGAAGCATCAGGCAACAACAGAGCTATGATGCAACCAACCGACCTCTTATCGCTTATCGCCGACTATACACCATCCCTCCAACCCTTTTCTTCACCACTACAATATGCCAACAGCTATCCATCACCCATACAACCCTACCCTCAATCTTCCCCCTCAATCTTCCCCCTCCAAAATCTCCTCATACATCACATCCGTCCTTAACGTAAACTTTACCCCGGACACCACCGGCTCCCCAGCATGCAACAGATCATTCTGCTGAAAGACCAACACCGACCCAACCCTAGGAAGCACCTTGACGACCTCATCCTCCTCGCTCTCGACCTCCAAGCGCCTCACAAAGGAAGTCGCCCCACCCACCAAACCCTCGTCCCCGTGCCCCTGCCCCTGCCCCTCCCCATTCAAATACACATGCACCGTGAAAAACGACCGCTCCCGACGATCCGGCGTGGTATACCAGGCATCCCGATGCGGGCGGAAGAACTCGCCGCGCTGGTACCGTAGGAAGCGCAGCCGCTCGTTGAGCCGCGTGAGCCGGTAGCGCCGGCGCGTCTGCAGCGTCACGCGCCAGGCGTCCTTTTCCAGCACGTCGAGGCCGAACTCATCCCGCAGGAAGGGGAGGATCCGATCGCCCAGTTTCTGCGCCAGCTCCGGCGCGTCGAGGATGATGCGGCCGCAGTTGCGCGTGTCCGGGCGGAGGACCTGTTCGCCGGCGCCGACGTTGAGCATGGCGCGCTCCCATTGGGGGGTCTGGGAGGTCGCGGTGAGGGTGGTGGTGCTGGCTTCGGCGAGGCGGAGGAGCTCGGTGCATTCGGGTTCGGTGAGGATGTTGTCGATGATCGCGGCGAAGAGGTGGCGGTAGGGCGGGAGGGGTGGGGTGGTCTGGCTGAAGTCGATGCGGTGGGCGGTTGCGTTCGGGGGTGCGGTGGCGGGGAGGAAGGTGTCCATCTTCGTTGTTGTTGGGGGCTTTGTGGGTGGGTGTGTAGCAACTTGCATATGTTCGGGTCTGGTATACCAGGTGAGTGGGTAAGCGGGCTAGTTATATACAGTGGACGGCTGACGAGGCTCGCAAGGCTGACTCGTGCCGCTGCGACCCAATCGCTGTTGACGCAGTATGTGCTGTGTCGACTTTGATTATAACGAGTAGCATACTGGCTAACATGAAGGAGAAATTTACAGTCAATGTGGTAGTTCTGATACACCAGTGTATGGTATATCCAGAAGTGTGTCTGTACTGGTATGCTTGGATTAGAGGCTGGTATATTATACTCTTTTGGTAGGATGGGCGTTTCTAAATAGAATAGCATGATAGCTTTTGGCTTGGTACGTCTAGCTACCACAACAGCAGGAACATATCCACCAAGCATGTTAGCTCAGGGGAAGAGCGCCGGGCTCATAACCCGGAGGACCCTGGATCGAAACCAGGACATGCTAACTATTTCTTTTTGGTTTTTTGCGGCCCACTGACAGGATCTTTTTTGTCGTGTCTCCTCTTTGTGCCTCTGTTTGTATGCATTTAGATTTGGTGCTCTACACTTGTAATTTAGTCACAACTGGTAGAAATAATTGTCCTTGATGTGACACTCAGTTGCCGACGGGAAAAAGTCCGACCGCAGTCAAGAATAAAATTCGACCCAACAAGCCATATTTATATATCGAGCAACACCGGCCTCGGCACGACAATATGTAGATTGTCAATAGACCACTGTTTGAAAATTCCGATTTAAGAAACTTGATCTAGCAGTATCTTCATCTTGAATACCATAGATAATACCTAGACATCGAATTCAAAGATCTATTGACTAGACTGAATCCTTCCCACACTAGAGAACAATACCCCCGCACCAACAATAGCCACCGCACCGGCCAATAAGACCCTTTCCGAAACACCTGCCCTTCCAGCGCATGTGCAGCATATGATTGCTACCCCCAATGCCCAATTCAACAAGCGGCTCCCGTGGCGCAATGGTAGCGCGTTAGACTTCTAATCTAAAGGCTGCGGGTTCGAGACCCGCCGGGAGCTTGTCTTTTTGCAGACAATTGTTTTTGTCTGCTGTAAACATAGTTTAGCTTGGCACCTCTGCTGCGGTGGATGGAAAGCAAAGCTGTTTCTCCGTGGCTGTTGTGCACCCGCGTCGGCATTCGGCAGACGACGTAGTTGCGCCGTCAGCTGTTTTTCTTTGGTCGCTTCTCTTACCCTTGGTGTCCAATCATATTGTATCGATCCGTATTGTGTTTGGTGGCATAGTGTTTCTGTTTTGTTTGCGCCCAGACCCATGACTGCAGTACAACACTATTGCTCATTCTTTTGCTCCGGACGGATTTTTTACAAGATTGAATATAGTCCCAATGTAGATATACAGAGTAATTGATATGTATACATGAGTATGATCTCCCAAGCACTCACCCCCGCACAATGTAAAACCCATTCATCGCCATCTGTTTCTCGACGGCACCGGCATTCGGCCCCCGCACCCCAATCCAATGCAGGGGAACATTCTCCACCATCCTCTGCCCCCGGGATCTGATATTCGTGACCCCATCCCGGGTTCTCTGCACCCAGGTGCCAGCTTGTCCACCCCCCTCACTGCCATCGCGCAGGCCATGGCCCCCGGCACTCCAAGCAGGATGCCCCAACACCTCCTGTGCATACGCCAGGTCACACGCATCCGCTATCATGGCCGCCTCGGCCGCCGCATCGCGCGCCGCCTGCAGCTCTCTCTCCGTGCTGCCGATCGCGGGAGGCAAATCCGGACGGAGATAGCCCATGATCCTCACCAGGAGACGTGACTGTGGTACGAGTGGCGGAGAGTCATCGATGAGACGGATGATGGTCTCCTTGCCCCTCGCGCGCGAGAGGTTCACCCGTGCTTCCAGCGCGGGGTTATACGAGAGGATGGAAAGGACCATGCCTTGCCACTGGGAGTCGCGAGGAGACAAGTATGTTGTTTCCCCGGGCTGGGGCGCCTGCGCAACGGATTGGCAGACGCGTACCCAGCCGAAGAACACCCCGTGGTATTGATCCTGGATCGCGTCGGGAACTTTTCCCAGCCGGTATTTGGTTCCATCCCCATATGCTGCGGGCTCTATGCGTGATGCCGTAAAGTCCACAGGAAATGGTGGCTGTGGACCAAGATCCAAGGAGATAGGCTGGTATTCTCCCGCCACTGAGGGATTGCCGGTGGTGGTGGGCCCCGAGGCAACTGACACCAACGAACTCACGCGGTCGCCGGCCCCACTCATCGAGTACGCCGTCTCAGCGGCTGTCTGCGTCTCCCAGCTCGGTTTGTACGGCTGAATCCGATCCTGGACCGCGGCGGTGACGGGGGCGATGACGGCCTCGGCGGCCGTCTGAGCGTACATCCCGAGGACCATTGCACCCACCTCCAAGGGCATGGTGGAGAGACTGGCGCCCCGGCACGAGCTGGGACTCAGTGATGTGGACAGGACTCGGAAGACCGGACTATAGCAGAGTACCTTCTTCCTGCCATTCCCACATAGCACGAGTTGGAAGTAGCCGTCGCCCGCTTCGGCGGGGACCCTCGCCACAATGGTCTCTCGCAGATGGTGCGTTTCACGAACTTTAGGTGGCGCCCTTTTGCGGAACTTCGCAATGTCGCGCTGCCACGCGCGCTCATCCGCGGGCTCCACCTGAGTCGCCTCGACGGCATGGGAGGGCGTCACGTCAACCCAGTCATCGGTGAGCCGTAGAAGGGCCTTGGTGCGCATTCCCGTCTTGCCGGTCCATCCCTTGGATTGCAGATAGAGGGTGCGGTCGGCGGGAAGGGGCGAGTCGGAGAAGATGGAGATGGTCACGGAGGTGGTGCTACCCCGGTAGAAGACCACGCCGGAGGAGTGACGCAGAATGGTGACATGCTTGGTACTTTCCGTAGGATGGCTGAGTAGCCCGCCTAGAAAGTGACGCGCTTCACCGTAGGCTTTCTGCGCGACCGAGAGATCCGTGGTGGTGCGGGGAAGGCTCGGCGCGGGGGATGTTGCTGGGGCGAGATCATGGATGGTGGTTGCAGCGCGAGTGGGGATGGTCTGTGATGGCGGGGGTCGCGGTAGGCGTGGGGATGGTGATCGCATAGGAGTGTATGGCGGTGGTGGTGTATCTAGGAGGGGTGGCTTATCCGAGGAAGTTGGTGTTGGGCACGGCGAGACCCTGATGACACCACGGATGGTGCCATCATCGTCAGCTTGCGGAAGAGGCTTGCGCTTGATTTGGTGGTGGTCCAGCATAGTGATTGTCCATTTGAACAGTGGAAGGGGCCGCCAGGAGCTAAGATATTGCAACCAAACCCCTGAAGTCCCCTGAAAGGATCGGAGTCGTGATGTCGATCGGAAGCGGCGGAGGTGCTGACTCAGCGCCTAGAAGAGGGTGAAGGATTGTGTCTCGGAAAATGGGTGAATTGGAACAATGAGTCCGGAGATGTTCGATTCTCTGAGATGGTTGATGTCACTGCATTGGAGAACCATGGTTGGCTGACAGCGGCAACATCCCGTAGCTCGATTGACAGAACTTGGGCTTATTTGTTAGCAGCGCAAGCTACAAACATCTGGCGGGGGCATACATTAGAATCCAGAAGGAACGACTTGTCGATTTTTCATCAATACTCGTATGACATGTAAGTTAGCACTAGTTCTGACACCTGGCATGATACTAAATTCAGGTTGAATGTTTGGTGCCATCTTCGCTGCCGTGACTTCAGCTGACAGGGTATCGATGTCCACTGGACGACATGGTCTTGACGGTCGATAGTATCTCGTAAGAGCTGAGACAAAGAAGACTACTGCTAAGATAGGGTAGAGATGACGAGCAAGTCCACGACACAGATAGATATGGTGTTCGAGTCCTGGTTCGGCAACCAGGTATGTAGGAAGGAAGGACGCATTGACGGGTTTGGGATAGGCGAACCATGCTATAGGTAGCAGAGGGAGGTGCGAGGCTGATGTGATTTAGTCTTCATCTAGATAGTAGCGGGCAGCTTGGAGAGAGCGAGAAAATGTCATGCAAGATGTCCTCGGCGTGATGTTCAAGGTTGTTGATTGTTAATTGTAAGAGCAGGGAAAACATTGGAGAGAAGGCTTCCTACGCTTATCGATAAGCATGAACGATAAGAAACCCAGGCACCCAGGCACCCAGGCACCCAAGCCAGCATTCCACCTGTGCGATGATGTGCAGCTGCATTCCAATAGGACTCACAAACTGGGTTCTTCCAGCCACTGCAGTGGTACTGTACATCAATCAACAGGATGAGAGATCCGCCTGTGAGAGTTTGTGCCTTGCCATGCTGACCCAGCCAAACCATGATCCTCCACAATCTCAACTGGCAGTGGACGATAAGCCAACGGGCGACAAGTGGCCAGCCGAAGACGGGGGAAGAAGGGGTGGCTGGCGGTGACGTCTTCCCGTTCCCGTTCCCACTCACTCTCACTGCCTCTTGTTCCTATCCATATCTCACAGTACCCCTACCCCTTCTCTATCTCCAACTTCATCTTCCGACTTCCCTCTGACCGGCAATCCATCGCCTACACCCACACCCACACCCACACTCACAGCCCAACATGGCCTCGTCACCCCCCGAGACCGAGGTCCCCACCCTCGACAACATCGCCCGGATCCTCCAACATGACACCCGCGTCAAGCTGGCCGGCGTGGACGTCGACGGCATGCTGCGCGGCAAGCTGGTCTCCAAGAAGAAGTTCCTCTCGATTGTCGCCGACGGGTTCGGGTTCTGCTCCGTGATCTTCGGGTGGGACATGCACGACCGCACCTACTTCAAGGAGCTGGCGATCAGCAACAAGGAGAACGGGTACCGCGACCTGGTGGCCGTGCCGGACCTGCGCAGTTTCCGTCGCATCCCCTGGGAGAACAACATCCCCTTCTTCCTGGTCAGCTTCTTCGATCCCGACACCAAGCAGCCGGTGTGCGCGTGTCCGCGGGGCCTGTTGCGCACGGCGCTGGAGTCGGTGGAGGCGGCGGGGTATCGCGCGATGGCTGGAGGTACGTCCCCCCTACATCATGACCTTGATACTTGATATTTGACTGTGTGATGCGCGGAACTAATCTAGCCGAATAGCGGAGTATGAGTTCTATCATTTCCGCGCGCCCAGCAGTCATCCCGACCCCAAGCAGAACGCCTCCGCGACCGCCACCTTCCTCAAAGAGAACCCCGTCGAAGCGTTGCCGTCGTTGACGGAGGGGATGTTCGGGTACAGTCTGACGCGGCCGACGCATAACCAGGAGTATTACTATGGGGTGTTCGATGCGTGCGAGCAGTTCAACTGTGAGATCGAGGGGTGGCATACCGAGAGTGGGCCGGGGGTGTATGAAGCGGTATGAGCTCTACTGTTCCGCAGCGGACAGAACCACACACACACACACACACACACACACACACACACTCTCTCTCTCTCTCTCTCTCTCTCTCTTTCTCTTCCGCGCCGTGCTGACAATCCAATGGCTACTAGGCACTCCAATTCGGCGAAGCCAAAGAAATGGCCGATAAAGCGGGACTCTTCAAGTAGGCCCACCCTTCCCTACATTCCAGCTGCACCTCCCGGACTAACGATTCTAGATACGTCGTGAAATCCCTCGGCACGAAGCACGGCATCACGCCCACGTCAATGGCCAAGCCACGCGAAGGCCTGCCCGGCAACAGCGGCCACATGCACATCTCCCTGGTGTCGCAAGAGGACGGATCCAACGCCTTCTACCGCGCGACGCCGGACCCCTCGCCACCGTACCCGGACGTCGCGCACCTGTCGGACCTGGGCCGCCACTTCCTGGCGGGGATCCTGGACGGGCTGCCGGACATCATGCCGGTGTTCGCGCCGACGGTGAACTCGTACAAGCGGCTGGTGGAGAACTTCTGGGCGCCGGTGACGGTGTCGTGGGGGCTGGAGCACCGGGCGGCGTCGATCCGGGTGATCGCGCCGCCGACGGCGAGCCCCAAGGCGACGCGGCTGGAGGTGCGCGTGCCCGGGGCCGACGCCAACCCGCACTTCGTGCTGGCGGCCGTGGTCGCGCTGGGGTGGCGCGGCGTCGCGCAGAAGCTGGCCCTCCCCGTGCCGCCGCTGTCGAAGGGGGATGAGATGGGCGGCGCCAGTGACCGGGGCGTGCGGCTGGCCAAGTCGCTGCGCGAGGCGGTGGGCGCGTTCATGCGCGAGGGCAGCGTGGCGCGCGAGGTGTTCGGCGATGCGTTTGTGGAGCACTTTGGCGGGACACGCGAGCACGAGTGTCGGTTGTGGGAGGAGGCGGTGACTGACTGGTAGGTCTTGCACTTCTGAAGATAAGGGCTTCGCTAACTTGATCGCAGGGAGGTGAGGCGGTATATCGAGACGGTTTGAGTTGGGTTGCGGGAATAGAGCGGGACAGTGGAGGATAGACGCACAGAGTAACGAGACACGACTGCAGATATCATTTACGCCTTTGTTAATACTTCCATGATCAAATATGGTGCTAGATTTACTCTACACTTCCAGTGTAACCATCCCCAACCAACCCCATCGAAACCCCGAACTGGAAATACTAAACATACAGAGATAAGGGTTCAGCCCACAACCACCTAACGACAAACCCGCGAATGCATAAGATTTGCTGACATCCCCTATATCCACCTCCTTCCCAGCCATGTACCATATGCGTTCTCCCCTCGCATCCCCCTTTCAAGCTTCCAGTAAATCTAAATCCCAATCAAATAATAAGCACAAACCGTAAGAACCCAGTAGACTACACCTCCTAGACCAGAAACACCCACACTAGAAGAAAACGAAGAATAATTCATTATAAACACGGGCCACTAACCAACCCTCTCCCCAAGACTTCATATACAGTACATATATCCATTACCAATCATTCACATCCCCGAAACATTATAAACATCCACCGATGGGCACAATCCCCAACCCAATCCGCAGACAGTGACGGAGTACGTACGGAGTAGACGTTTAGATATACTCCCAAGCAGCGGCACTACCATTGCGACCGACGGCCAAGGCATCGAATCCGAGGCAGTCGCCGACGTTACCGGAGGGGACGGTGGCGTTGCTCCAGGCAGCGAAGACCTGCCACTTGCTGGCGGTCGCAGCAGCGGAACCGGCAGCGGGGGTGGCAGACGGGGCAGCCGAGGAAGACGAGGCGGCAGCGGGGACCGGGCAAGCGATCAGGCCGCTGTTGGGCAGGGTCCAGTACCCGAAGGTGGCGCCGGCGGTCTGGGAGTAGCTGAAGGCGCCGACGACGGAGCCGGCGGGGAGGTAGGCCGAGTGGGGCTGCGTGAAGGCCAGGGCGCCGCTGGGGGCGATGTAGACTTGTTGGCCGCCGGGGACGGAGACGTCCTGTTTTTTTTTTTTGATGAGGGTTAGTTGTTTGTGGTTTGTGAAAGGGGGCATGGCATGGGAGAAGGGCAAGAAAGAACGTACCAAAGAGTTGGCACCGGCATCAAACACCGTCTCGGTGCCAGGCGGGCAGGCGCCCAGCTCGGCGACCTGGTCCGGGCAGTAGCTGGAGGCGTTCTGCAGCCCCAGGTAGAAGCCCCCGGAGGCGGCGTTCAAGGGCAGCAGGTGCACCGGCGACCCGGAGCGGGCGGACATCACCGAGAACGAGTTGTAGTTGGCCTGCGCCTGCTGGGCCTGGGGCAGGGCCGAGACACCGGCGGCGGCGGAGAGGAGAGCAAGGAGCTTCATGGTGGTGGTGGTGGTGGTGGTGGTGATTGGGATTGTGGGTGGTAAAGATGGATGGTTTGTTTGTAGATGATACTGGAAAATATCCTGGGGAAGAAAGAAGGTCTTTATACCTCAGGGCTATGCCAGTATCTTGTTCCACTGCCACTCTTCAACCCGTGGCTAACTAGCACAACTCTAGTAACTCGACCATGCTGGTTTAGCGATGCGATGAGTGAAACATCCCCACTCCATCTGCTGATCAGCGGAGTGTGTCTCGGGGACATTCCCCCTTCAGTAACATTGGGGACTGGTTGACCAGGTTTCACTCGCCTTCGTATTGATTATTAGGCAGTGAGAAAAGGAAGTTGGGGAATGTCCGAACAATGCCCTAATTCACCCCCCCCCATTTCTCCCAAATGACATTCTGTTTAGGTTATCATTCATCAGCAACCGTCTTACCCGACCCGAAGCTGCCGCTGGACCCTGTGGATCCTCTAGCAGATTGTACTATTTAAAGAGATGACATCATTCGCTGCTTCGCTTCTGGTGCAGTCAGTCAGTCAGTCAGTCAGTCACTCACTCACTCAGTCCCACCGCTAAACTCGATCGATGCCTGCAGAATATTCACGAACACCAACTAAAACTAGTCTAAGACATCACAAACAAAAAAACCAGGCAACCCCAAACTTCGGCAATTTCTTATTTACATATACGAACGCTGACTTCATGCAATGCAACTGTACAATTTCTGAATGTCTCGGATTCCGCCGAATTTCCCCTCCAATGTCCTGCCCACGGTGCCTTTCTGCATTTCTGCCTCGGGTCTAATGTGTGTCGTGTCTCACTAATCATCACAATATTCTCTTCGGCACCATCCCCAATGGGCAACGGACCTCATCACGAACATCAGAAACATCAATATTCCCCTCGTAAAGGCAAATCCCGTGAGCTCTGTCCGACCCAAATCTCAAACTCGCCATCCGGCATCACCCAATTCTGCTCGCGAACACTCCAGTAACTCAGGTCCTTCCGGGTCAACGTCATCGCCACCGTCTGCCTCTCCCCGGCCTCCAGTGTGACCTTGGTGAAATTCCGCAGCACGCGCGACGGAAACTCAATCGGCTCAGGCATCCGCTCCAGCTTCACCTTGCTGGACCGCCGCGCCCCCTCGTGCACCTCCACCCAGTCGCCATCCTCGGTCACTCCCCCAGGGGATGAGACATACACCTGCACCACGGTCTGACCGGCCCGCGGTCCTGTGTTGCGTACCTCAACCTCGACATTCACCACCTCGTCATAGAGCGATGGATTTCCGCCCAATCCACCACCGGCGGGCGACAACGGCTGCGGTTGGTCGTACCCCTCCGGATAGTGCGTGTAGTTGGCCGCCGCGGTGCCGTCCATCGACGTGAGGTACGGATAAATGAACTGAGGGACCGCCCGGAACTCTGCAGGGAACAACACCGACTCATTGCGTGGAGGCTCCGCGTCGTACTCGGGGGGGAAGACGGTCTGGGGCGGTCGAGACGCCGGGAGACGGGACTTGGACTGCAGCCCCTGGACATGAAGATCGGCAAGCTCAAACGTCGTGTACGACAACCCAAACCCGAACTCGAATCGTGGCGTGATGTTGTGTCGATCGAAATACCGATGATCAATATACAGCCCGTCCTGGAAATCTACCTGCGGCACGGGTGCATTAGGCTCATACAAGACCTGCGCCCCGGCTCCGTAGTCTTCCAGACTCTTGCCGACCGTGTACGGCAGCCGCCCGCTGGCATCGACCACGCCAAACAAGACGTCCATCAGCGCATTGCCGCTCTCTTGGCCAGGCAGATGGGCGAAAAGCACGGCATCGACCCCTGGCAGATCGATCCACGATTCCACCACGACCGGACCCACCGCATGCACAACCACCACGGTCGGCCCAGCGCAGTTTCGAGCGACCGTCTCGATCAGCGTGTCGCCGCCCTTCTGCAGGAACAGGTTATTGCGGTCGCCGTGAATGCCCCCCGCGGAGATGAAGCCTTCGCCCGAGTCGGCATTGGCGAACACCAAGCAGAGGTCCTTATCCGCCACCTCTGTCGGCATCACCGCGTTGCGGAGGTAGGGGCTGAGTTCGATCTCCGTCTCCCAGGCGGACTGTAAAGCCTCAAAGGGGCTGACCAGATACGGGAACTCGGCCGTGCCGCTGCCCCAGCCCATCGCCAAGGTTCCTTGGTTGCACCCGCGATCGGCGCAGGCGTTGGGACCCATTGCCGGGCCCGCATCGTCACCGTAGACACCCACGCGAAACACGGCTCCGGACCCAGTCGTGGGGCGGCGGGACAACGGGAGGGTCTGACGGTCATTCTTTACGAGCACAATTCCCTCGGTCGCGACCTTGCGCGCGATGATCCAATGGGCATTGTCGCCCTCGCCCTGCGCATTAATGAAGCGATTCACCACGCCGTAGGTCTCGTCACTAGGGGATCCCTGATAGATCCAGCCCACCTCGTCGTTGGTCCAAGAGGAGAAGCTGGGACCACCGTTCCCTTCGGGCGGTGGGCGCTCCCACGTGTCTTGGCCCAAATGGTACCAAGCAGCTACGATGCGAGTCACCATATCGTTCAACCGCTCCATCGGGACAGAAGTGTTAAGCACGGCACGAGTCAGCTCCGATCCCCAGAGCGACTTGCCGTCCGCCCAGCGAAGACCGTCGCCGGGCATGCTCATGTCGAGCCCGCCTAGAGCGCTATTGATGCCCGAGCGCTGAGCCAGCCAGTCGGACTGCACGAAGCCCTGGAAACCCAGTTCGTCCTTGAGGACCCCGTTCAGCAGCTTGCTGTTCTCACAGGCGTGGCTGTTGTTCACCATCTGGTACGAACACATGACACTGGCGACATCGGCCCGGATGGCTTCCGCGAAGGGCCAGAGAAAGACCTCATGTAGCGCACGGTCATTGATGTTGGATGACAAGGCCGTTGCGATGCCCCACTCGTAGGGCTGACGGAAATGTTCCTGCTCGTTCATGATGTAGTGCTTGGCCGTAGCCATCACCCCGGTGCTCTGAATGCCGCGAATAGTCTCCGCGGCCGCCACACCCTGCAAAACCGGGTCCGCCCCAAACGCTTCCCAATTGCGACCACCAGCAGGCATCATCCCCAAGGGGCCCATAGAAGGGCCGAGAAGCACATTGACACCTTTGGTGCGCGCTTCCTCGCCCAATGCCACGCCCCGCTGACGGATCAACTCGCGATTCCAGGTCGCGCCGGTGGTGATCCCAGCGGGGAAGGCGGAGATCAAATCGGCATAGCGCAGCCCCAGTGGTCCGTCCTGCAGACACAACGAGGGAAACTTGACAAATTCAGCGGGCGCTGTATAGCAGTGTAAAGTTAATCGCCACGTAGTCACTAAGCCAGGATATTCCGATCAAGACGAACCTGTATTCCCCACACACATGCCCATCTGCCATCCAACGCCGGTCGTGATGTTGATCTTCTCGATGAGCGTCATATTGCGCACCAACAGTTCCGCCCTGCGATAATCATCCGCCCAATCCTCCAGCGCACCGCCTTGCGGCGTCGGGAACCATGATTCGGAGGGAAGCATATCCTGCACAAAACGAAGCAACACCACAATTAGCCGAGCATCCTCTTACACCTGTAGCAACCATGTAGTCAGGGGGGAAAAAAACTCACCACCTCCACCCTCCCCGCATCCCAGCCGCCACGCGCTGCAAACCGCAGAAACACCCACACCAGTGCCCCCAACACCAACACGACCGCCAGCAGCGCACGGCACCAAACCTTCCGATAATAGTATCTGGTCGTCGTCGTCCACCCCCACCCCATATGCGGCGTATGCTTCTTGAAAGTCGACGATCTTCTCCGATGGTGTCCCTTTGACCCCTTCCTCAACCCCACGTCCGAGCCCACGGAGCGCGCATCACTGTCGTCGCTGTCCTCGTCGTCGTCGGAGAGTTCGAACTGATGCGCCGCGGTCAGGAGTTCGCGTTCCGCGGCGGTGATGGAGGAGAGGTAGGCTTCAACGTCCGAGGGGCGGGCACTGTTGTTGTTACTCGTGGGGTAGGCGTAGGCGGGTTTGGATGCGGTGGAGCTGTGGCGGCTGTGGTGGTTGTCGATGCGGCGGAGTTTGATCTGGCTGCTGCTGCTCCTGCTGCTGCTGCCGCTGCCGCCGCCGCCGGTATTTTGATTGTGGTGGTGGTCGTCGTCATCGGAGAGGTCGGAGAGGGTGAATCGGTCGTCGAGGTCGGCGGATGGTGAGGATTCTTCTTCGGGGATCGGGGCGAAGGAGGAGAGCGATTTGCGGGAGGGCGCGTCTTGTTTGAGGTGGTCCCGGTAGGAGGGAGGGGGTCCCGGGTTGGGTGGCATGGTTCTGCGCTGTCTTTAAATTATGCTTATTCGATATCGATAGCAAATCATGGATCAGAGGGATGCAAACGAATGTGAAGATGCACAGGAAGAAGAGGACATGTCAGAAAAAGGAGAGCAAAGAATTGCATTGAATTAGGGGAGAGAGGGATGGGAGATGGGAGGGAGGGAGGTATGGGGATTGGATGATGAAGGAGGGAGAAGTGGACTGGGAGATTGGGAGTGGTGAACTTGGGACAATTCGCAGGTTCTGGCCAGGGGATTGTCACCGCAAGCTTTCTGGCATTGGTTCCTGCCGCGGGCGTTCCGCGCCCGGTGGAGACCAAACTGGGGCTGCATGACGACAACTCGGTGTATAGTATTGACAAGGTAAGATACTGTAATTTACAACAGACTACCACGTACCTTGCGTTTATACTTGTTTGCATACAGATTTTCAAAAACCAAAACGAAATGGATGCTCTATGCTGAGAATCTCGTCTACAGCTCTATATACTCATGGACAGTCATCAAGCAAACAAAAAGGTCTATAAGCCAATCCAGCAATCATCGCGGTCATTCATTCGCACTCTACTCCTCATCATCCGTGTCCGGGGGCTTGGGAGTACCCTTGGGACTTTGCAGCCACTCCAGGTGACGCAGACGACGACGCGCCTCGCGCTCCTTCATCTGCGCACGAGTCATCTTCTTCTTCTTGCGAGCCTTGAACTTCAACTCGCCTTCTTCCGCTCCCGAGTTCACCGCCGAGGCGGCGGCACTGGTGGTGGTCGAGTTGGCCGCCGTGCTGCCGGGCTGAGGGGTGCTGGTGGCACTGTCCTCGAAACGATCGAGAGCAACAGCATTGTTGGTGCGGCCGACAATACGACCGTCGGCAATGTGCAGCTGTTCGGGGCACAGCGCACCCACGAACTCCTCGTTGTGAGAGATCATGACCACACCACCCTTGAAGTCACGAATGGCAACCGCCAAACCACCCAGGGAATCACGATCCAAGAAGTTAGTCGGCTCGTCCAGCACCAGCAAGTGAGGGTTGTTCCACATGGCTCCAGCCAGCACGACCTTGACCTTCTGACCACCAGACAGACCAGAGATCTGATTGTGAGCGGCAATCTCGGGATCCAGACCAACATCCTCAAAGTGCTTGGCAATGATCTTGGGCTCGAGGATACGGAAACCAAGACCCTCGCGGGAGGCCTCGTGGTCGTCGAACTCCTGCACCAGCTTGGCGAATCCCAGCTCGGTAAGGGTTTCACGGGAAATCATGGTGTTGTGCTTGGGAAGAAGACCGATCCATTTACTAGACAGCATGTTAGCGATGAGTAGACAACCCAATATGGCACTCCGACTTACACTTCATATTGGAAGGACTTCTTCCATTTCTGACGACCCATCAGAGCCTCAATGCGACGAGGGCCACGGCCATCACCCAGATCCACAGGCTTCTCCAACTGTGCCTTGTCCTGCTCGGTAAGGATGCGGGTCTGCTTCAAGTGCACCTCACGGTCATCACCGTTGGCGTAACGCCACTGCAGGTACTGACTGGGGGTCTTCTCCAAGTGCATCTCAACGTGCTCCAGAGCGTGCTGCTTGATGTAACCGATACGGAGGTTGGGGTGCTTCTCGACTTTGCCGGTCTGCGGGATGGTCTCACCCGTCAGCATCTTGATGAAGGTCGATTTACCCGCACCGTTACCACCGATGATAGCGACACGGGAAGACAGGGTCAACGACAGCGAGGCGCCCGTCAGCGAGGGCTTGCTGGCTCCAGGGTAGGTGTAGGAGCAGTCGGTCATACGGAGGATGGAGCGGGTGTTGGACTTGATACCGGACAAGATACCGGGAGGAGGGAACTTGAACTGAACATTGCTGGCGGACAGGGTGTAGTAGCTCTTGGCCTCGGGCTTGACCTTCACAAAGCTGCGCGGATGGTTAGTGATTGTCAAGAGACAAAGGATTGAGGAACACTTACTCGGCCAGGTTACCCTTGTAGCAAACCAGCTTCTTCTGCTCGTAGTGGTAGATGTCGGTACAGACCTCGTCCAAGAAACCAGAGTCGTGAGAGACGATCAAGCTGGTGATCTCAGTGTGGGCCTTCAGGTATTCCTGAAGCCACTTGACGTTGGCGACGTCCAAGTGGTTAGTAGGTTCGTCCAGCAAGAGCACATCGGCCTTCAGCAACATGGCGCGGGCCAAAGCCAGCTTCATCTTCCAACCACCAGACAGGGATCCGACGCGCTGGTTCTGGCGACCCTCCGGACCATCGGTGAAGCCAAACTCCAACAAGACGTTACGGACGTGCTCTTCACCCTCCGCAGCGATCTTGGGGTCCTTCACGACGAACTCATAAATGCTCAAATCAGCATCCTCACCCTGGTTGTGCTCGACGAAGCAGGTGCGGACAACATCTTGAGGGGGGAAGCCCTCCAGCTTGTCGTTGGCGATACTGCGCATGAGGGTGGACTTGCCCGCACCGTTGCGGCCGCACAGACCGTAACGGTGTCCCTTCAGCAGACGAAGGTTGGTGTGCGACAGCAGCAACATACCACCGTAGGCCAGCGAGAAGTTGGCGTTGACGATTTCAACCTCGTTGGGGTCTTCGGGCTCGGGGCGACCATACTTGCGGTGATCCTCCTCAGTGAAGTGGGCCTCCAGCGCTGCCGCGACGGCGTCGTGCTTATCCTCCGCCAAGAGACCGCGCAGGTAAGGACCGACGCAGGCGGGGATGCGGTCAAGCATGCGGCAGTTGACATCCTCACGGACCATCTCCGAGATGTAGTTCTTGCCGAGCTCGAACAAGGTCACCAGCTCGGGGTGCACCAGGCCGCCTTGCTCTTGGATCTTAGCCTCCAAGACGGTGCGAACCTCATCGGGGGTGATCTTGGCGACCACCCCGGCAGCAACATCCTTGTCGGCCATAGCCTTCTCGATGACGTCCAAAGCACGGGTGGCAAGCTCACGCACCTCAGGTAGAGAGGCACGGTCCTTGACGCGCTGCACACCAGGCTTCAACTTGGGCAAGAAGGTACGAGCCTCAGCGGGGTCGTGGACCAGCTTGGTCAAGTTCTCCACGACGACAACGGTCTGGCGGAGGGTCTCCTGGGGGGTCGTGGGGGCGTTCAGCGAGCGTTCGAGTAGGGGAGTGAGCAGGGCGAGAACGGGGGAGGTGACAATGGCGACGAAAGTGGTCTGGGACAAGGCATGGATAGCCTTTTGAAGGGTCTGCTCGGAAGGCTGCTCCATGGTCTTGATCAGGAGAGGAATGCGGGGAGCAACGTCGTCGTTGGACAGCAGGGTCGTGATGGCGTTCATAGTCTTAATGGACTGCTTGGCGACTTCATTCTTCAAGTCATGCATACCGGACTCGACCAGAGGAATCAGGTCCTTGAGGGTCTTGCCCATGGCCTCGCGCAGCAAATCCTTCTCGCGCTCCTCCTCGAGGGAACCAGCACCCATCTGGGCCTTCACGGCCATCTTCTCGATGAGAGCGTAGGCGCCGACGAAGCCCTGCCACTTGGCGGTGTTGCGGTTCAGATACGCGGAGAGGGCGGGAAGGAGGCCGTTGGCGAGGGATTCGGCCTTCAAGCAGGCGAAGAGAGCGTCGATGGCGTATTGAGCAGCCTCGCGAACGACAGCACCCTTGTCGGCGAGCAAATCGAGGGCGAGGTGCAGCAGACCGCCGTCCTGGAGCAGGAAGACGACTTCGCTGAGAGGGTGTTCGCGGGGGAAGCGTTCGAACATGGCGCCGAGAATCAGCATGGCGCTTTCGCGGAGAGCGCCATTCTTCTTATCAACGGCGGCCTTCTGGATCTGGGGCAGAATGTTGTAGTATGTGAAGCCAGCGACACCAACGCTCTGGATGAGCAGATTGGTCAGAGCGTAGGCGGCATCGAGGGACTGCTGGGAGGTCTCTGCGTTGAAGATGGTGTGGAGGAAAGAGCCGATCTCCTCGTAGGTGGGGGGGACCCCGGAGGGGGTCTTGGAGACAGCGGTCTGCATGGTGGGCGTGGGAGATTCGGGGTGAGGCATTCTAAATATGCGAGGGGTATTCTATTGTGGTGAAGTGGTAAAGGCTCCCAACCAGCACAAGCCGTAAGCCGTGGATTTTTGGAGGTGGGCGGAGAGGGGCGTTCAGCCTCGTTCGGAGCAGGAAAGAGAGAGCTGAGAGATAAGAGAAGAAGCTGACTGAATGGAAAGAACTATACAACCACAAACCAAACAACAAAGCAGCAATCCTCCTGGAGGATGCGTTCCAAACACCAAAAACACAGAAAAAAGAAGAGTGGAGAGGATACACAGCGTCAGAAGAAGGAGGAGGAAGAGGAGAGGGGGGGGG